AATTAGTATCTTCCTTTTCGAACGCTATTTTCCGAGTCCGAATTGCTTCAAAACTCGCTGTATAGTAGACCGAGACGGATAACCGGGTGTCGCAGCACTAAGCTGTTTATAGGTCCAAAAGGGGTGTCGGCGCGCTTATAAATAGAGGCAAGTAGAAGCTCGAGAGCTTAGCATAGGGGGACGGCCGGTTCGGGGAAGGCTTTCGAATAATTGATGCTCCTCGAAGCGTTTCAACGTATTGTAGATCGTCCGACGGCTACATTCGAATTCATTAGCTAGCTTTGACTGCGAAATACCATTTTTATAGCCAAATATAATAGCTGACCTTTGCTCAGTAGATAGTTCAGCCGTTTTACGACGTTTTGAACTTATTTCCAATAAAATCGGACATCTAGGGGAGGTGTAGGAAGAAAAATAAAATAGTGGGTTGGTTGCCGGGTCAAATTGTAGTGGGGCAGTGGGAAGATACTTTTGACCAGTATCTGTAGTTTCTACTTTGACACATGGGGCTTTTCCTGCCATGACACTCCAAAAGAGTTTTGAATATATTCTCGTGCCCTGAGCGACGATCTAATTGCCAATCTACCACCGGAGTCTTTCATATAAAACGTAGTAAACTTTATCCTCATTTTCGTGTGTTCTTATCCTGTGCTCCATGTGCCATCACATGTGTCGAGAGGAGCAATTCAACTGTTCGAATGGCTCTCTGTTGTAGCATTGCGCTGTTACTTTGTCATCGTTCGGCAAGCCCTTCGGGACATACGACCACGACTTACCCCACTTGATAAGCATTAATCTAGACTTTAATCACGGCCAACAACATTGCGTCCATTGTTTCTCTACTGGGAACTGTGTCCATATCAGTTAAGCGCCTGCAGCTTGCGTTCACGCGTGAAGACTCACGACAGTTGCCAAGCACGAAGTCAACTGAGAAGCATTGGTTATATGAGCGACGTCCGGGGCCATCTCCCAATGGAAGATCACATTCAGCAATTGGGAACCCAATAGCCACACGGTAGCATCGAAGGAATTCGGGAAAGTCTTTCTTTGTGATCAAACCAAGACCTTTGTGTATATCATCTCCTCCTTCGCCTTGCCCTGCCTCCCGACAATGGCGATAGCATGCAGCGATGTCCGGAAAGAGCTGGTAACATCGAGGACAGATATATTCCAAGTCCGATTGCCCCAGAGCTTTCAGCAGAATTGCCAGTTGCCTTTCCACGTCAGACATTTTGAGACAGAAGAGACATGAGCAATTAAAGGAAACAGTCTCACAATATTACGCAGATCTCTTTATACAGCATGGCGCAGCATTGCCAACGCATCTTCAGAGATGGTAATTATTGGTTGATTTACTTGCAGAGTACCAAGAACTAGCGGTAGCAACGCAGAGTAGTCTTCTGTACGGCTTTTCATGGTGCCCTGATTTCATACGTATAGAGATCGCGTGGCTTCGAGCTTATGGTCCTTGAGTCAACTATCGGCCCGACGCAGGTCATAAATTGCAGTTGCTCTTACATCCTGACATACTGAATGCCCGAGTTATTTTACATCAGCTGCATGAAACCTCTCATCGTGAGCGGGCCTGGATTTGGAGCCGTCAACTCCGTGGGGATGCATTCTATCCTATACCCTTTTAGCCACCTGAGTCAGCAGTACGGGAGGATTCAAACCATCTATAGGTATCTCCCGTCTTCACGTATCGACAATGCCTGCTCGCCACAATCCATCAGTTACTGCGGAGAGTCTGCTCCACAACCTATCCGCTCGAATGGGACATTTTTTAAGATTTCTGGAGGGCGACCTCACTCCAGCTATAGTGGAAAGCGAGGCAACACAAGTCCCGAGTGTAGTGGATTTGATTTCACATGGCGCGAACTCACGCATATGGATCCTGCACCTACAAACCATGCTTAGGTGGTCTTCTCTAGCTTTAGAAGAGGAGGATTGGCTACAGATACAAGGATTGAGCGTTATTCCTCCAGGTAGTCGTATCCGCGGTGCCTGGTTGATGCCGTCTTTCCTTCGTCATTTGGGGCGGTCAAACGATTCCAATGCTTGCAGTGCCCTTCAACAAGGACGAAAGCTTAGGAGGTTTGAGAATTAGTTCGGTGGGGGCATTGCACTTCTGCTGGTCCCAGTTCTGCCTACTTTCCGCCGATTGTCCCTTCGCGAAGAAGCTAAAGCCATGCAGCTTCTGAGAGCTAGCTATGCCAACATTCCTTTTCGCGCACAGCGACTTCTCAATCTAAAGTCCAAGTATCAAGCATTGGTAGATACTCATGTCTTTGCTTTATTTTCATAACTAACACAATTCTTTGCCTAGGTTCCGGGTTTGACGCCTCCGATATCCTAAAGCGCGAACCGCTCAAATCGCCATGAATTCAAAGACCTCTGGGCCAAGCATGTCAGACGCCATTGGGTCACCACTGTTTCCTAGCCAAACAAAAGATCCCCCAGTAGGAGCCTCTATCCCCATTCTGACCGACCCTTTCACAAAAAGGATTTCGTTTGGCCGCAGCTTCCGCACAACTGGTCGGGTCTCCCGCGTTGCCTCTCTCGATAGATCAGGGGGTATAGCTTGAAAGTGACTCTGGTTTCGTCGTTTTCCGAAAGATCCCGAAAGACAGATACCGCATTACGAGATGGGTGCGCAAGCCTAGTACCCCATGTTGAGTGGCCTTCGAGAGAGAGAACGATAACGGGACCTCGACGAAGAAGGGAGTCAACTTCGCCTATGGCCTCGTTGATTTTTCGAGAGAACTATGATTTGTTAGTCTTGAATCAATATACTGCGTTAACAAACACACCGCGTCGCTTTCCTCGGCACCGCATCGCAAAAATCGCCGACATGTGTTTGCATCACTCCTGCCATACACGACTATACCTTTTTCTACTCTCGGTCGCAAGTAGAGAGATCTCATAACTGCGGATTTTATTTCGGTTCCGTCAGAGGAGGCCGAGAAAACCACATAGCCAGTGATCTACATTTCCGGTGGATGCTGTTCATTGTAGCGAGGCGTTCTGGTCTGTGCTGTTGTCATGTTTGTGTTCCTCTGCCAGGTTCAAGCAGTCTAACTTGATTGAGGATAGTCGCAATTGAAATTGGGAGGAAGGGGGATAACCAGGAGGGACCGCGACTGGCTTTTATATATTTGGCATGTCGACAGTAAAGCCTTCTGGCTTTGGAGATTAACACCATTCTTCTAGTTCTTTTCAATTCCTTTGAGAGCAGCAGCAACTGCGATTGGTCCATTACATTGCCCTTAACGGGACGTGTGCTGGCAATGATTGTGTTTAGGAGGGAGAGAGTTGAAGGGGCGTGACGCGAAGCTTTATGTGCCTATTACCTTGAGTTATACTCCCCTTTTCTTTCGATCAAAAGGGCTAGATATCTAAATAGCCTGCGATAAGGCGGCTCCAATTGTGTGGCATAGGTTTTTAAGGTAGACTCCTATTTTGGAGATATGCATAAGGTAAAAGAGGTGTTTCTTTTAATTCTATTGCATTTCCTTTTAAGGGCAACTTTTGTGAAAGGATCGTTTCTTTCCCCTTTTCCCTCAAGTTACATTCAAATAGGTACTAACAGAAAATACGTCCGGAATTCAGCCTAACAGAGAGTTCATACAGTGTACTCTCCAAAGTTATTTGAGTCTATTATTATGGTTAATAAATTGATACGGATGCGAGTGAGTTGGCTAACCAAAGTAACCGTCCTCGTATCGCTTCTCACGCTGCCTAATAGATAGCATCTCATACAGTAACTTTAATTCAGTCTCTCCCTCGATTTTGGCTCGCCTGATCGCACTATCAAAATATGCGACGGGCTCTTGGCGTACCCTTTTAACAAGCTGAGATGCTTCTTTGGCTTCTTTGGCTTCTTTGGGGTTTTTTGGCTATATCAGTTACGCTTGCATATAATCATGAAGATGGTAGGCCTGACCTGGTTTGGGAGAGTTGTCTAGTTGCTTCTTGCTCTTGCGAGATCTTCCCCGCTTAACTTCCGGCTTTCTCGATAGATTGGCGTGCCTGATAGAAATCCGAGCTACTTGGTTCTCTTCTTCGTCCCAAGTCAATTACTTCTGCACATTATCATGAAGATTGTAGGTCCCACCTTGCTCAGGAACGTTTGATGCTAGCTTTGGCCGCTCTAGTGCTTCCAGAATCTTTTGGCGACTTGCCCCATTCAGCATTAGAAACACCGAATGGTAATACTCAGTCATTTTGGAGGTGTCGCTATAACGAATAGATTTGGACTCGAAGGAAGAGGTCATCCCGAGAAAAGTTTAGTATGTTCGCGGGTTCTGTTGTCTGGCACCAGCGGCGGAAGGATGGCAAGAAAAGTGCACGAAGTATGAGGAGTATCCAGAGGGCAACGAAATGAGGAGTATATAATATCCATTTATACTAAAAAAGTCAAGGTTCTTGAATAGATCGTATAAAGTGGTTTATAAATAGATGAAATCTAGAAGAGTTCTCTCAATCCAATTGTCTGTTAAGCAAAGGGTAATGTAGCTTTTTTTTAATCTAGGGGACCGAGTAATCAGCCTGTGAGGTCATTATTCGACTATTTGGTCATTTTGCAGGTTTCTGATTCTGCAGCATGAGAGGACTCACCCTTGAAAACCGCCTATACGTAACTCACTTCATTCGACAATGCCTGATAACCACAATCCACCTGTCACTGCGAAGTGTCTGCTTGACGGCCTATCCGCTCAGATAAAATAATTTCCAAAGTTTCTCAGAATGGCTTCACTCTAGCGAGAGTGGGGACTGGGGCACACAGTCAGGTCACAACTGGAGTGGATCTGATTTCACGAGGCGCGAGCTCACGCACATCGGTCCTACGCATAACGTACTGTTGCGGTAGATAGATATTCTGGACCTCGATTCCCCTGTTCTAATATAATTGCCCTGTTATATACTTTTCCAGCCTTTCTACAGTAAAGTTTAGGAGGAATTTTAGAGAGAAGTAGACCTCGAATTAATAGCGAGATTGGCTATTCAGTGTAAATAGAGGGTTTTGAAAAGGTTGTAGCAAGCTCGACCAACGTTCCAAACCTAGCTGCTGAGCCTGAAAGATCATCAAAAGAGACCTGTATTGCCCATTGACCACATTCAGTAACCGGTGGAAGCGTTTCGAGCACCCCATATTTCCCTGGCAGGTCAAGTCTCCCGGCATCGCTGATGACGTCCCCGTCCATACAGAAGCAGATCCTCCGCTCTAGAAGTGCAATAAATGTAAGTGCTAACGCAATGGGGCAAGATACGCCGGGCTGGACTGTGGATTGCACAAGATAGCGGAGGTAATCTCCAGTTGCAGTATGCATGGCCGTGTATCGAGAGGTCACTATCAGAGCCGCATAGACTTCAGGTACTAGGAAAAGACACAATTCCTTTTTAAACAAACTTTGGCAGTCTCTCAGGAGTGCTGCGCTATTGACCGAGACAACATAGTTTCCCCTTATCTTCCAAATTACCATAGTCGGGACTAAAGAATATCAGCTTAGCATATAAACAGGAGTGTAATTCTACAAACCGTCATCAACTTCAGCGCAGTGTATTCCCAGAGGAGCTACATCGAGCCCCGTGAGATGATCTGGAGCCTCCGCATCCTTGTCAAGTTCGTCTTTTAAGTCCTCGTTTAAGAGTGACAAGGGGTCAACGAAGTACATAGAGATTTGATGTGGCTTCGCAATAGATGATAGGAAGAAGAGACCCGATTGTTTATTCTCAGGCAGCGGGGTGGGGCGCTACTTCAGCCCAGGGTTGCTAATCTGGAGTATAACGTTAGAATATATCATAGTAAGGAGGACATCTTTGGAATCATACTGACTGTATTACCACCCTCTGATAAAATACTCTATGACTCATTGAGTTCGAAATCGCCAAACTCCCCAGATAATGATAAGGGAGTACACAATCACCGAAGCAAGTAACAAAAAGAGTATATAATCATCCATTTGGATATAAGTCATAAGAAAAAAACATGTGGAATGACAACCGATATATAGTAGCTGCAAACCTCTTTACCGCACATTTTATCCCAAGTAATATAATGTTTCAGAAGTCAATGGCATTAACTGCGCGTTCGATTTCGAGTCTCGTTGTAGCAAGATCATCGTTCCATATGCCGCTTCCCAGGCATTGACCAGAGATTTGGGGAAAATATTGGGGGCTCATTCTTGTAACGTTTGATGACACCTATTCGGTTAGCGGCTTTTACCAAATCCTCTTTCTTTGAACGTACAATCTTGGCTCATATTTGGTCTGTATGCCGTTAATATGTCGTTAATATGTCAAATTTCACGCAGAAGGGAAGAAAGAATGGGATATACCTTCGCTTGGTTTCAGATTTTTTTAAAGATAGAGTATGAGATGGAAGATGTTCTAGAGGCGCCGTGCGATTGAAAGAGGCCGAGTTTAGTAACATGGGCTTAACAGATTTATACTGCGATCGAATGACGGCCCTCGAAGGAACACATAAGCGGTCTTCAGTAGATAAACGACCCGGAAGAATAATTGTTTCACCGCTCACTGAAGATCGCCTGGAGTTGCAACTGGTAGCGGGTGTCTGGCTCGCTGTTTCCATCAGAATATGAGACCTCCAGCATGCGAAGAAAGTTGAAAGTATTTCCCTAGCACGCATCTTGAACTTTTGAAATCTGTTAAGAATCAATATGCGTCCACCTTTGTCTAAATAAGCAAGGGACGCTGGGTTTCCTAGCGCGATTAAACTAATTGCCGACCCAGAAAAATCGCAAAGCTTAAGAGACAAATTTTTTTGCACTGATATCGGTGTGAACAACACAACAACCAAATCCTATGCAAGCCGCAGAAACTGCCGAACTACCTGATCCCTCCCTACTACTTCCTTCTGCCGATGATCAGACCACATATTGCCAGGCTCAGTACACCAATGATTGCTGTGATCGGCCGCCCTCTTATAGAATCCTTGATTGAGAGAAGGAAGCGAGTCGATGGTGTTTGACTGATAGGAGATGAGAAGGGTAAATCGATGGATTCCAAGGCCTGCAATAGACCGTGGGCGCTGCGAAAATTGCCATTCCAGCAATCTTCAATGATGCAACCAAGCCAGATACCTTGTGTGCTTGGTAGATATTTCCTTTCTGGCCAGTAAGCTCGGCCATCGGTGGGAGAGTTATCCTTGTAAAGGTCGATTTCACACTTGTTGCCCGTGACAATTTCATACATAACTGCGCCAAGAAGGCCAATATCAACTTGAGTCGTGTAGCCATTATCATCCACAGACTGCATGTCGGAATCTAATGAAAACAGAGAGGCTTCGGAGAAATCGCAAAATTTGAGAGATAGATCGGAATCGAGAAGGAAATTTCGGCTAGCGATGTCTGCGACAAGCACACATCTGTCATGAATATAGGCGAGTGTCCCAGCCATCTCATGAAACCATGTGAGTTGGAGTTCAAACGAAGGACGATATGTTTTAAGATAAGCCCGAAGATCTCCGTTAGCCATATAAGCAAGTTGAGTGGCTTCGGTTGAAAACCCGATGCAACGGACAATACCACTAGAACGGTGATCTCCGGGGTTTTGCAGGCGACGGTAAACATCCTGCTCGCGTCTAATGCTCTCGGTGTTCACTTCCACATCGGAGTCTGAGCTCCAAGGATATATTAAGGGGACTTTAACGGCCACACCGTTTTGAAGGAGAACGACCGCCGTGTTCCCATTTCCGAGGACATGCTCCTGGGCAATTGAATTACCCTGATCATCGAGAAAGGGTGAGGACATAGCACAGAGAAAATAGATAGGCTGGACTGGTTTGGTTATAAATCAAGGGGCTGACCCGAGGTCTTAAATACAGTCATCCGATCACGTAATCATCCCAGTCCTTTCAATTAACAATCCAACTATCCCTTCGTGACACTGGCGCGTACATAGCTTCATTCGGATGATTCCTTAAACAAGCCAGCGAGATAATTTTCTGGCTTACCGATGATTCGGACAATTGAAGCCGCGCCTGGTCGAGCTCGCCTGGGTCGTTGGAGTCAAGGGATTGCACACACTGCCCCTCTGCTCGGCCGGAACACACCATTGGATATGGTCTTCGGTGGGATCGAACTCGATGCAATTTCCTTTGCTTTTCCCTTTGCAGTCGGGGAATCTAGCGGGGGTTTTCTTCCTATCCCAGCACATTGTTGCTTTTTGACGGTCAGTCGATCCTCTCAAGAACGAACTTGATGGCCATACCGGATTGGATGCCTACCGATCTCTTGAAAAGTCAGGTGAGGTGATTGTGATCTGATAATTAAAATCTCAGCAGAGGATGGCAATGCCTTTAAATACTTCGCGGCGTCTCAGATGACCAGCTACGGGACTGTTATTGAAGGATCTCATATATCGTTGTCCCAGAGTTGTTGGTGGGAGGGATGGAAGTGGTATTGCTTACTTCGTCGACATATGCAACGCAGTCGCAATACACTCGGCCACCGTTTCCAAAAGAATTGATATTTATGGTTCTTTGTAGGTGCGAGAATCATATTTTTACAATTGACGCTTTCAACAATAACAAGTAAATATTTTAAAATCTACTGATAGTGTTCGAACGAAATTGTTCACTTAAAGAATTGTAAATTGGCTGATAATTTCGAACGTTGGCTGTAGCTGTAGTAAATAGAGAACAATAATCGTAACCCCGAAATTTTTATTTAGGTGCCACGGGCCCTGATGACGGCGACGATAGGAGGACTGACTATCAACCCAGTTACTGCTGTTGAGAATTAGGAACTAACCGGATTAGGGGCACCCAGTTGGGTGCCCCTAATCCGGTTAGTTCCGCAGATAGCTAGTGCTGTAAAAATTGGTGATGAGGTAATGGTCATCTGACCAAAGCAAGCTCTCTTTCAAAGTGATTGCTTCCGCTTCCACGAAACTCAGAACATCCGAGGATTGTCCTCGAGAGTCGAGATAGTCAGCCATAGTTTGTCGAAAGCCATATGTCTTTTTGCTTGGAGGGAAGGCCAGAGCCTTCAGTATCTCAACCCGAGCGCAAGTGGTGGTATTAGCCTTGTGATACAGAAAACGGCCAGCAATAGTTTACCTATCCCGAGGGTCATGAGTAGTTATAAGGGATTTTTGCAAGGTAATCAAACTGCGGCGTGATAGAACTTACACACCTATGTGATAGGACATGCAGGAGCGCACAGCACGGACCCGTGGCCCAAATGCCCAATCACTTGATGCACTTGACGCAACCCCTGTAATATCACATTTGGGAGGAGAGAGGGGGCCCCGAAGATAGGGACCTCGTCTCACTCGCTCCATGACTTTCTTTCTCTTGTCTATTCACTGCGAAAATGACTCGCCAGATTCCATTTGAAGGTGACGACACTGCTTATATTCTGTTTCTTGAAGCGCGAATCTTTCAGCTCGAAGACACCCTTCACCGTTCGTCTCGACAACAAACCCACATTGGAACGCCATCGAGAAGCCAGGCGGAGTTGAACGGAGTCCATATTCAGAGCGAGGTCTTTGACATACCTCACCCCAACTCATGTCAAATTCCGACTGCATCGGAAAACCGAAGCCACGACGGTGGCACACAACTTACCTTAGAAAATCCTGATGAACAGCGACATCCATGCAAAGACGACGGTGATCCCGTGGCATTCAAAATTATTGAATACAATCCGAACGCTCACCCTGATCCAGATGGAACCGACAAATGCGCGCAGGAAGAGCGTAAAAAGCACCAACTCGAGACACTATCAAGATTTTCTAACTTCCTTGACAATTTACCCCAGTCGGACGTTTGGAAAGTTTGGGTTTCAGCTCTTGATGACGTCGAACGCAGAAAGATCCTAAATGCACTAGTACAAAATTATGGCTCGGGTGCATCGAGCTTTTCCTCACTGGAAACTCCTAAGGAATTGGCAAACGGTTCATCCAAGTCGACAGATATTGTCGTCTTGTCTGAATATGCCGAGTTTATGACATCGTGTGGCATGGTGAATCGACATTTATCATGCTTTCGAAACATATTATTTTTTTCGCTTTGTGCGGTTGCACTGAAAATAGTTGAGGACAAAGATGGCGTGTACGCAGTTATGCGGAAAGTTATCGGATCTGATACTCCTTCAAAACAACTTCACAAGCTTGTTCGTGGCGCAAAATGGGCGAATCGTCTCGTATACCTCCTATCTACAACGAAATGGGCATCTAGAAGCTGGGATATTCTTTGTGTCGGTATGACGAGCATATTTATGTTGTCTTTGACAGGCTAACTCTGCCAAGCTGAGCATCCCGTTAGCTTTTATGCCCGATTCAACGACTGTTCTATAAAGCCTGAGGAGGTATTGAAGATGATGAGGACTAGTTTTCAAGAGGACTTCTTGTCTGAATCTGAATCCACGAGCTCGCCTACGCCCTTTGCAATCCCTTTGATCATAAAAAGAATCTTCAAGGATAGTGTTTCGTGCGTCATGTATTTCTTTCTCCAGCTTCTTATAACTGATATCTTCTAGGCTGAAGAAAATTTGCCAATACCTAGGGTACGAATTCTCCTGGGTCAATTCTTATCAGACCTCCTTCAACCATGCATTGGAGTGTCATTACTCCAGAAAGAGGCCGGCATCGACAAGATACAGGCCGTCAAAAAGGCACTGTCAGGATCGCTCTGCTTTGCCACCGGGTAAACCTTCATTTTTAGTTTAAAAAAAGGCCATCAACTAACAACTTCAGAGAGCGACGGCCAAAGGGCCCAATGCCCGTCTCCTAGTGCGGCCAATAATTCAGCTAGTGGTTCTCCACTGCCGGAGATATCAAGTATTCCAGAAATATCGTCGGTGGGTATACTGGAACTGGCATCAGCCCAAGGAAACCAATCTGATGCCGGTGATGCCTGGGCTGCGGGTGATGTTTCTACTGGTCACTCTTTGGTCAACTACATCCCTCAGCAAGATGCCAACGATGCCTGGGCAAGTTCGGCCGAGATGGGACTAGTCTACTTTCCTCCCGATCAGCCTTCAATCAATGAAATTCCTCAGCCTGACGCCAACGATGCCTGGGCAAGTTCGGCCGAAATGGGAGAAGTATACTTACCTTCCGATCAGTCTTTAATCAACTACATCCCTCAGCCTGATGCCAGCGATGCCTGGGCAAGCTCGCTCGGGATGGGAGAAGTATACTTACCTTCCGATCAGTCTTTAATCAACTACATCCCTCAGCCTGCTGCCAGCGATGCCTGGGCAAGTTCGGCCGGGATGGGACTAGTCTACTTCCCTCCCGATCAGCCTTCAATCAATGAAATTCCTCAGCCTGACGCCAGTGATGTCTGGGCAAGTTCATCTGCCCAAATGCTTGGGGACATAAATCTCGGCTCGTACCTGGGCAATGATTTAAGTGCTACCGTCAACATGGTTGATACATCAACGAGGGACTCGGAATCAACACGAAAATCTCAATCAGATTCAATCGCTTTTGGAAGAAATACAGAGGGGTTGATGTCTGTACAGCGATCTGCGGGAACGTCAAGGGACAACTGGATAGCACAACCTGCTGTCAATGGCAACAGGGTGCCACCTCTTTTGCTATGTTCTTCCTTGCAACCTCAGAGCCACCGAAATGAGTCAGAAAGTGGGCAATACTCTCGCCCGTTAGCAGTGAATTAATTTATATTTTATCATCTATCATCCAAGATGCCACCTAAAAGTAAGGGTCGGTACACATAACTAAAGGCAGCCATAGGCCAAATTATTAATAATCATACAACATGACATCAATTCGGGCTCAACAGAATAAACAAAGATGTACCCCCTCCACCTTCGGTCAACTGCATGTCACTATCGCCAGAGACGACAACATAATCTCCAGGCGATAATAAACCCTGATTTATTTTTGGAAATCCATTATTATGGTCCATGTATTCTAACCCGAGAATCACCAAGTACTTTCCAGGAAACGGGCGCTCAAGCTTCCCTGCCCTTTTTGTCCAAACGACGGGATAGTAGTCCGCCACCGCACGCCACGGGTCGTCGGAAAAGATAATGCCTGTTTCGCTGGAAATGGACTGTAATTTCGTTTTATCCTTTAAAGAAAAGAAAAGGCTTAGCATTCACATTGCCACCAGGGGCAATCAAAACATACCTCGAGCAAGCATTCCACGACAGGGAGCACGTCATCTTTGCTCCTGGGTGAGATGAACAGCCATGGGTATCGATCATGGGATGTCCGGGTTATCTGTGATCTCACTTTAGCAGCTGCAACAGCTGCTGCGGTCTCCAACGGCGACGTATATGGCATAAGCACAGCTGGAGATCATTCGATGAGAGTGCCAGGTGCTTTAAAGAATCGCTGCTGCGAATATGGGCTGAACAAATGGATAATGCAGTTAGGGTATGGGAGCAAAGGTAAATGCCTATGGGCGGCGGGGTGATGGCGGGGATCGCAGCGAAGGTCGGGCAGTCATACGGTTATGTAAATCACATGACTGTCACATGATCAGAAAACGAAAATCGTCAAGTGGACTCTGCCCGATCTAAATCATCTGATGCTGCCAGCAGCCCTATCCGAGTCTTGGTAGCCAAGATTCTGATGTACGCCATCAATACTTTAGTAAATCAAAAATTTAGTAAGATGCAAATCTAAAGGCTACCTGACATTTCCATATTACTCGCCTATCGCAAGATTATCCTCATAGAATGCCCAATGCCTCCGGATAAACGCCTCAAAAATACAGCAAAAAAAACCCCCTCAATAAGGTTCAGGTCTGGTAAGTAGGGAGGCAGGGTACGTTACTTTCACACCCGCATCAGAATACATTTTCTCTATCCAGTCAGAAAGGTGAAAAGAGGCGTTGTCCATAACGAGAACAGATTCAGGTTCCGGCCACTTTCCACAATGCTGTCATCTAGAGTAACGCGTGGATGACCAGACACGTGCCGGGCCGGCCCGTCGAGCTCCGCCGTCAACTGGCTGGCCAACGAAAAGGGAGGGATTGCATCCGATGCCATGGTCTCATCCCAGCCTGGAATTAGCGATGACAAAGCCGAAACTTAGGGCCTTGTCCTCCGTTTGGTACTAGGATGTTGGGACTAGGATGTTGGGGGTAGATTACCTCCAAAGTGTTCTTTTTTTCCTTTCCATATCAAGAAACGAGAATCAAAGCCCGAAGACAAAGGGTACTAGAAGAGGGGGTGTCATACTAATATTCTAGGGCCCTCGCTATGGGGTTAATTATATTAGTTCCAATATCAATACGACAGAAGGAATGGGCCAGTCTTTGAGCAAGTCTTGTGAAAAGTTAAGGCCAGCCACCCCAAAATGGTCATTTACAGTACGCAATGAAAAGGAGCTTCACTTCTGCCCTTATAATCCCTCCAGTCGGTCATGGGAAGGATTAGTTCCTGAATCTGTCTTGTATGCCGCCGCAAGGCTTTCGACCTGGACGACAACTTTGTCGACAAAGTATTACGCAGAAGGGGAGGTTTTACCGATCCGTGGCTTCCATATGGATATGGCCCGCGTTGGAGGTAATCCCCAAGAATGTAGTTTTTAGCGGTATGTACTGGAGAAGGTTAAAGTACATGCTTTGTTTTAGACGGTAGTTGGCGCGCTCTTAGTCTTGCTTTCTCGACGCCCACACGTACTCCAGTATACTTGGGTCGCAGCACGACTTCTTCTCGGATGTCGGTCCAAAAATAAGCTCGTCACCTCCGACCATGGTCGTTGCTCGTCTCTTCTTAACTCTAGCAAAAAATCTACCTCTTCTGGAGACCATCGCAAGCGCCTCCTGCGCTTTCGCTGGGCTTCGTTGCGACCATCACGAGATGGCGAGTGTCGTGGCAGCTGGGTCGACCGCCCGTCTCCATCCTCACAGACTGTAGATATATTTCGCTTATGGCGTTTTCTGCGTCCCATCTGTCGTGAGGATGCATTCTGAGAAAAAATCTTCAAAGCGTGAAGACTGTTGTGAAGACTGTTGTGAAGACTGTTCAGGAGTCATTTCAGACAGTGACGGCATAGAGGGCAATGAGAAACCTCTGGAAGGAACGTCATGAAGTAGGCTTGTCGAGGACCGCGAGTTTGGATACGGAGAACCCCGCGACCGAAAATCTCTTGTGTTTGATCTAATGAGACAGCCAAACCGCCCTCTGAGGGAGTTTGGGACTGATTAGGGTATTTTCCGACGATATCATTGCTCGAGGCTAAGGCGTTTCCCTTTGCCCTCTTCGACGTTTTCATTGGGCGCCTCCTTGCCTTGGAATTAGGTGCACCTGACGACGCTGAATAATTGCTCATCGATGTCCGTGTTACTCGATCTTTGTAGAGGTTGTCACTGTCGTTGTCGCTGTCGCTCGAGCGACTACACCGTCGTGTTCTGCTTAGAGAGTTCTCCTTGGCCCTTGCAACCACTTTATTGTTTCGACGGACAGGGATGACAACGGAAACGGCAGGAAATTGCTCTCGCCGGGCTGGTTTTGCCTTTCGTCGCGGACGAAGAGATGGAGAGTTTGCCAGTGTGGCTTGCGATTGGTTGACCGAGCGAGTATGAGGTCTAAGACGAGAGAAGGCACGTGCTTGACTCTCGGTGAGTCTGCCTCTTATATCCTTATCCGAAATAGCCTCGCTGATCGAGGGTTCATTGACCTGGACAATTTGTGTGGTCACCCCATCCCTTGTAACATCCGTCCGGTCCCCATGGTTTTCTAGCCCGGATGTGGTGTCATATACGACGGATTCATCTTGTAAAATGGGCTCACTGCTAGGCCGTGCTGGTACATCTGTCGGAGTTGATTGCAAGACACGCTGGCTATTCAAGCTGACTTCGGGCGGATACAACTGAGGTTCTGCCGGGATCAAAGCCGTATCTAAGTCACCAAGAGACTGTCCCATTTAAGGGCATCGGTCTGGATGATCCGGTGGATGGTATTAGCTTTATCGCGGTTCAGCAATTGATTCTGACATACCAGTTATTAAGTATGTGTGATCGCTTTCAGACACGTCAGTGCGACATTCGTTTCGGAGCCCTGAATCGAGGTGGAGGTCCAAGTCTGTCTCGTGCATTTCCTGGATGCTCTGTGTCACAGCTCTCTCTATTTCGGTATCAAATTCACTGCCTGCACGTGAATCCAAATTTTCCGTCGCGGTATCTCGCGATTCCAGAGAGACATCAGTGCTGGCACCGGATGCTGAGCTGAAGGTCGTTTCTTGAAAATACTGTCTTGGCGGGAGGGCATGGGGAAGCGTTTGAGAAGCCACAGAGGCATTATAGGCCCTCCAACAGGAAGCAGGGAACACACGAGAGGAGGATTTTGTAGGAGGATGAGAGTAGAAGCTAATGTTGTCAAGGCTGATATACATGGCGGCGAAATGATGGCAAATGGAAAGTGACCAGCGAAATGGAAGAGGAGCGCGGACGGCTTATAAAGTATCTGAAATCACTTCTCAAAACAATGCCAAGTCTCCTGAGTTACATTGGGATCCATAAGAAATTGGACCCACAAGCAATGAGATAGTTCCATTGTCGGAATCTGCCTCGCTCAGAGACCATGGTCAATTACCATCTCATGCACAAGCACACCGATTCTCCGCGGCTCCATCGGACTGTTCAGACATGCGGACGCCTTCGTAGACCAATTCCCTAGATTGATCCCTCTAACTTTTCCGTGAACTATGGCGAGCAGTTCCACGTCAGCCTCGCAGAGCCGTAATCCGCAATATCTCGGTTGCTAAACCGGCGCAGTCCCCTGCAAGCGATGCATCGTCCGGTTACCGTTACGAGTGTGACCCAATTATTGTCCCACCATTCGGATAACTCCGCGGCCATTTCGACAGATCATCACGTAGCCCGCTCGAGCCTTCTCACAAGTTATCATCTGTTGGGAATGGAGCGCCTTCGGGCCCACACCGGATGATGGGAACCTGGGGACGCAAGAGGCATTTTTGTCATTGGTGGCTACGCTGCGCTGAGCAGATAACAACACCACATGCCTATCGAGAGATCATAATCCTGCCCCGGAGATGAGACACGGGCTGTATGCGTTTCCCCAAATAGGAAAGATTGCTCCAAGAGGTTTGAACCAGGCTGAAATAGGTAGCTCCCAATGGCCAAGAGACCATTTGGGGGCGGCCAATTTAGGCAGGCAAAAACACCCCGCGAGCCATGCCGCATGCCTCGATCTATGAAAGATCAGCGTCTCACGCGGCGGATGTCGAATCAGTCGGTAGCTGCCAGCGACTTCGCAGTGACACGAGTGGGGAGCGAAGGGGGCGAAGTACTCCTTGTGGGAACGGTCATTTCCGAAATGCAGGGGGCCGGAGCAGTGACGTCCGCGGTCGCGAGCTGAGGAGAACGTACGGCCGTGGGAAAGTAGAGAGAGATGGTCGAGCGACGCACCGTCTAAACTATATATAGTTGACGAGGGTCCCCGAGGGCGGCGACTGGCAGCAGTTCCCGTTGGGGCATAGCGCGAAACACCATACCCGATGTGGTGACGCTAAACCAGAACAGGGCTACACGGGACGAGCGCTAAACCCAACGTGGGGGGTTGCCGAAAACGGCCCCCCTCTGGTAAATACGACTTGTACTCGTGGTTGCCAACAAAAGGACCTCTTTGACCGCAATTACTACTGTGGTTTGTGGTTTCCAGAGTGGTTGGCAGCGTGTGTTACGTTTGACCGAAATGTGCGTCGTTGCAACTGTCTCTACATCGTCGAAAGGTTCTCGGGGTAAGAAACATGCGGCCGGATGAAATATCGCAACTCGAGTGCTTCTAGAGTGGCAGTAGGTTCAAACTCTCCAGGCTTAGTTAGCAACTTGAAATATTTGCTGCACGCCCCGCTGAAGTTGTTTATGGTGGAGGACTGTCACTTATAAGCTAGCCTTGAGCAGACTCACTTGAAATTACTATCACCAGAGAATTCGCAATTAATGGATTTTTATTGTCGCCGGTATCCAGAAACATGACAAACCACAGGCATCTTCTGGTACGTGCAGTAATTTGACTGGTTAGAATAAAATTCCAAGCGCGGTTGAAGAATCTTTGCACCTCCAATTTGCCCAAGAAAATGGTGGAACAAATAGTCATTTTTCGGAGTTAGTGTAAGAACAAAGTGTGAATGAACATGACCATGAGATGAAATCAAAAAAGAGGACTAATCAGCTTCCGCCCATTGTTGCGGATATCCGCTGACCGTCCGAGGAGGAGAGCGGCAAGCGGCTCGGGGCTCATTATAGGTGCATCGACCAACAACAAGAGGGGAAAGAAAAACAGTACCACAGGATAAGAATTTACTGCACGTATCGTACATCGCAACTCCTGGTCGAATATCATACCTCGAAGTTTGGCGGTGCTGGACGGTTCGACCGTTTTCCCGTTTCTGATGACCAGACCTGGTCTTCTTCGCGCTGTTTCCGGGTGAGGTAGATGAGTTCCGTTCTCACTGCAGCGAAGGAAGACCATGTTTTTGATGAATTAAGTGAAACCCCCCTTCGGGGGACCAGAAAAGCCCAATCGGTTACTCCTTTTTCTGCCGAACGTACTAAAGAGAATGAACGGGGGTTATCAAAGAAGCAGGATATTGCGTGCGGTGACTTGCGGGAGTAGTTGCCTAGGAAAGGGAGTTCAGCGATGCCTTCTTTGAATCAGTCAAACTGGCACAGTGGACTCGACCATACATGTATCGTCTGCAAAGGTGCACTTTTGACCTGGAGGGAGATATAAAAAGAGCTCCCTACAGGCAGTATTCTGGCCCCAGCTTGCTCCCTATCTATACCACGTCCACATTATAACCAAACGCTGAAAGTATGCGCCTTAACTTACCTCTCATCCTTGGAATAGCCACATCAGCTTCTGCTCTGTGGTCAGTTACCTACTACACCGCAAGCGATTGTTCAGGGCCAGGAAAAGAGATTGGAGGCTTCGAAGCTGGGTGCCAGACTCTAGAAGCCGGCACGGAATCGGTAATGGTCTCTGTTGACAGCGGCAACAATATTACCTTGAGCATGGATATCAACTGCAACACTCCTTACGAGGATACCATTCCGAGCGAAGTAACCGACCGCTGTGTCAATGCCGCTATCCGTTCCTTTCTATCCTTTTGATCGTAAGTGGTGTAGTACTTTCTTCACCACATACAAAATCTGCAGACTAACACTGCAAGGCCAATTACAGTAAAGCACCAAACACGTTGAACAGGGTGCAAAGCTCTCAATCTAGAGGGCAAGATGGGCTTCTAGAATCGGCTTGTCTGTTATTCTAGGTATATGACAGATCCTAGTTACATGTATCCAGACTCCTTTGTTTCGCTCATTCAAGATCGACGCAGCTATCTCCACCGAGAGCCCAAGTACAGTCGCGCTCGGAACGAGTTACATCATTTTGTTCTTTTCTTGTATTTACGCTGCACGGTCATGTCTGAGATCTTATTGAGGGGTTGGTTGCCCTATTGTGGGTCACTATAATCAGTGGGATTGTTTTCGACTACAAATTGTCTGCCTTTTCCCTTCCTTCTCGATGGTCCCCTCTTCTTAAAGCTTGCTGGGCCGGGCCATATCATCAGGTACGACCTTGCCACTCTCTCACGATGCACTTTGTCCTTCCTTATATGGTGGGCCTGGCGTGGCTAGCCAACGCTACCTACATTCCCTACTTGACCAAGGCCAATACGACTAACTTTGCTACTCGTGATGTTAACGGATATCGTTCCGTGGCATACTTTGTGAACTGGGTATGAGTTTGAACCGTATTTACTCCACCACTAAATCAAACTAACTTATCACCATCAGGGCATCTATGCTCGCAACTTCCAGCCTCAGGATATTCCTGCCGAGAAACTAACCCATGTTCTCTACGCATTTGCCAATGCCCGAACCTCTGGTGAGGTGGTCCTGTCGGATACTTGGTCGGACACCGACAAGCACTACTCCACTGATTCATGGGCTGATACCGGGAATAATGTCTATGGTTGTGTCAAGGAGCTTTTCCTACTCAAGAAGAAGAATCGAAACTTGAAGGTTCTTTTGTCGATTGGAGGCTGGACGTATTCTTCCAACCTCAGGACTGCCTTTGAAACTGAGGGGGGACGCCAGAAGTTTGCTGACAGTTCCGTCGAGCTGCTGAAGGACTTGGGCTTTGACGGTATCGATGTTGACTTTGAAGTAAGTTTGCTAATTCGTTGACAGTGTTTGATGCTGATATCAGACAGTACCCTGCCAATTACAACGAAGCGGACCAATTTGTTGATACCCTACGCCGTCTTCGTGAGGTATTTCAAGCTTCTCTTATTGATGACTCTGCTAAGACTATATTTTTCAGGCCTCGGATTTGTACAGCTCTGCCAACGCAGATGGTTATCATTTCTTGCTCACCACTGCATCCCCTGCGGGTACGTGTCGTTTCTTTCAAACATTCTAGTTATGCCAACCCAAATTCTAGGCCCTGCCAACTACCAGCGAGAGCATCTCGCCCAGATGAATCAGTACCTTGACTTCTGGAACTTGATGGCCTACGATTATACCGGAAGTTGGGACACCGTTGCCGGCCATGATGCCAACCTCCACGCATCCAACAGCAACATAGCCAGCACTCCATTCAACACCGACCAAGCGATCAACTATTACACCTCGCACGGAGTGGCCTCTTACAAGATTGTCCTAGGTATGCCTCTGTACGGCCGAGCTTTCACCGACACCAAAGGACCTGGCCAGACTTACAATGGTGTTGGTGGTGGTAGCTGGGAAAATGGGGTGTGGGACTACAAGGCTTTGCCTCAGCCCGGCTGCGCGGTCACAAATTTGGACCAGGAAGCTGCTAGCTACTGCTACAATTCGGGCTCACGTTTGTTCATCAGCTATGATACCCCTGAGATTGCGCGTAAGAAGAGTGAATATA